ACACACACACACACACACACACACACACACACACGGGCAGGCAGCAAGGCGTTGGGTGGGCGGACGGGCGGGCGGGTTGGCAAAGGCAGGCAGGCACGCACGCATGGGGGGGCAGACGGGCAGGCAGGAAGGGGTTGGGCAGGCGGGGGGAGAGGCAGGCAGGCACGCCCACACGCACCAGGGCAAGCGGTCGGGCTGGCTGGCAGACATGGGTGCACAGGGGCGGGCAGTCGGGCAGGCAGCAAGTCGACGGGCGGGCGAACGGGCGGAGAGGCGGACGGGAGGAGAGCCAGGCAGGCACGCACGCATTGGGGTGGGCGGTCTGGCAGGCAGCAAGGCGTTGGGTGGGCGGAGGGGCAGACGGGCGGGCGGGCAGGCAGGCAGACAGGCAAGAACACACGGGGGATGGACGGACAGGCAGCAAGGGGTCAGGGGGACGGGCGGACAGACGGACGGGTGGACAGGCGGGCAGGTGGACAGGAAGGCATGCACGCACCACTGGGGAGAGCAGTAGGGCTGGCAGGCAGGCACGTGTGCACCGGGGCAGGTGGTCATGCAGGAAGCGAGGTGTCGGGGGAACAGACGGGCTTACGAGCGGACTGGCGGAATAGGCGGAGAGGCAGGCAGACAGGCACGCATGCACCGTGGCAAGCGGTCGGGTTGGCAGGCAGGCATACTCGCAATGGGTCGGGCAGGCAGCAAAGGGTCTGGGGTGGGGGGACGGGCGGAATGGGCGGAGAGGCAGACAGGCACACACGTACGCACGCACCGGGGCAAGCGGTCGGGCTGGCGGGCAGGCACACGCGCAACTGGTCGGGCGGTCGGGCAGGCAGCAAAGGGTCTGGGGTGGGGGGACGGGCGGAATGGGCGGAGAGGCAGGCAGGCACACACGTACGCACGCACCGGGGCAAGCGGTCGGGCTGGCGGGCAGGCACACGCGCAACTGGTCGGGCGGTCGGGCAGGCAGCAAGGGGTCTGGGGAGGGGGACGGGCAAAGGGGCGGATGGGCAGGCACGCACCGGGGCAGGCGGTCGGGCTGGCAGGCAGGCACGCACGCTTGCACCGGGGCAGGCGGTCG